CCCCCTTGGGCTTACCAGACCCTTAGTCCTAAACCCATCACAGGCTTGTGTGGACTAAGTTAAACTCGAGGGGACACATTCCCTTATGTCTATGCGGAGAATAAATTCACACGAAGACATAAGGTATATGAATCCCGAAGGCTACTTGCTAGGCATATGCGGTGAATAAATTCACACGAATGCGTCGCTTTCACCCCCACTTAAAGGGTTCGGAGCTCGGGTATAGAGCCTTTGGATGAAAAAGTTTGGAAAACTGAAATCATTAGAAAACGGTCAGTCCAACTATTTACTCGAAAAAATATAACCAAAAGTAAGTAATAAGGATCGAAATGTTACCTTAAAGTTCAAACTTACCCTTTTCATTAAAAAGACAACTGGAAATTACCTTAGCCTGACCCACTTACCTGCGTCCCCAGCGGAGTCGCCAAGCTGTCGCAACCGCCTTTCGGTTGGGCCCCGGAATTGGGCTTCGACTTAGGAAAATGGATTGGAGTCGCCACCGATCATTTATTTAAAAATAAATGGGTTGATCGGATACCCTATTTCTTACCTGATCTGCGTCTTACCAGAGATGTGTCGGATTCGGGAGTCGGTTACAGTCAAGGAAGGGCTAGCACCCTTGAACTGCCCTTTCGGTACTGTGTAATTTCCAGTATTTTTTTTGTGTCTCCCCGTAATCTGACCCCTCTCTCGTGAGACTTACATGTTTATTTATAGTATAAAGAGAAAACTATATTTAGAATCCTATCTTCACTAGAATCCTAATGCTTGTTGTCTTCTCTTATGATTTGTTCTTGCTTCACGCGTGATGTTGATGAGGTTGAGGATTTCATGGCACCGAGAAGATCGGCTGAGGGAAGCGTGGGTGGCGAGGACTCGTGAGGCAAGGATTGCGGCGCTAAGGAGGGAAGCTGCTAGGGTTTCTGGAAACCCTAACTCCAACTGGGTTACGTGTATGGGTTTGGGCCATAGTAGACTGTTGGAACATTTGGACCTGTATAAGATTGAAATAATAAGATTAATAACACTATACATATAATCATATAACTTGTAATATTATCTAATAATATTAATAGGCATCAGACGAAATTGAGTGTCTTCAGCCTCTTAATTGATAATTTTTTATTTAATTATTTTAAAAGTTATAAAATTCTAAGCTAAAGCAATGATTAAATTATACTTTTGCCCCTTAAAATTCCATAACTCACTTCTTGTCTCTTAAGAAAAAATTCTAAACGCTTAAAATGATCAAATTAGAGTACAAGGAGTAAATCTAAAATTTGTCTATAATACAGAGGATGATAGAAGAATTTGACAATTTTATCTGTCTATCCTGTTTTATTTTTTTTGGATATTATATTCGAAATTATTTTTGCTTCTTCCGAAAAAGACAAACTTCAAACTTTTCGAGATGAAATCCCCAAAATTATTTATTTTGCAAAGTACATGTTAGGGTAAACTACATAAAGAATCACTTAACTTTTAAGATGTTTACCTTTTGATCACAAACTTTTAAGACTAACAATACAATCATTAATTTTTTAATTCACTTGCAATACGGTCACTATAGTCAGATGCATTAAGAACAATTGATATAGCACGTTGAAATCTTTTTATTCTCAAAAACCTTCTAAATTTCTCACTTTTTTCTTCTTATAAATTAATAAATGTCACTACTTTTTTTTATCGTCGTTTAGAAATTTCTTCAATAGAAAAAGTCATTAGACTAAATGATTGAAGACGAGGTAACTCCAATTAAAGAGGTAAACAAGATAGATCGAGGGGTTGTGGGACAGTTGTCCCCTAAATTTTTTAAATTATCTTATATTTAATTTTTTTTTTGTATTTTTATTGATAATCTATTATTGTCTCCTGAAACATTATAATTTCTCTCCTCTAAACTTTTATAAATTCGTCTTCAAGGATAAAATCTTGAGTTCGTCCCTAGAGGTAAAGTTTTTTTCTCTTGGTTTTACTTCTTTTGATTACTAAACATTTTCATATAGTTCTAATTTCTGAAACATGAAGCACACAGTTTAACAGTAATCATATTATAAATGCATTTAAAAATTAGTGATTATATTATAAATTTTAAAAAATTGATGTTTGAAATGCAATAACCCTAAAATATTGGAGAATATTTATGTAATTTATTCTAAAGATTAATAATACATAAATTATCACTCTTGTTCAATTTTAGTACCTAAATTTTATTTTTTTCAAAATATATCTATTGTTTAGCTTAAGTTTCAATTGTTATCTCATCTATAAAAATTTAACGGTGATGTTGATATGTTATCTTAGAGTAATATCATATCATTATTGAAAAATAAAAAAATTTATGTCAATAGTTCTATTACTTTTTTTAATGTGAAATATTAAATTAAAATTTAAACTAAATATTAATTATAATTTTTTAAAAATAAAAAAAATAATTGAAGTATAAAACGTGTACTTCATCCACGATTATTATAAAATAGAATCAACAAAAAATGATGGTGCTGGTGGTATTGACGATGATGATGATGATTTTTTCGAGTCAATTAGTCAGTCGGTTTGCTAATGGCCTGAGCCATTTAAACGCTTCTCTTTGACGGAGCAGCTTCCTTTTCAATCTTTATCACATCACCTTTTCTTTTGAACCACGACTTCGGTTTTTCTTTTCCTTCATTCTCCAAGACACGGAGAGATAGAAATAGAAAATCTCTTTAAAAGAAACTTCGAATTTTCTTAATTCTTTTGCTTGTGTGTTTGAATAGACTCTAGAATGTCGCCAGAGACAACGTCATACCAAGAACAAGATGATTCGGATGCTGAATTCGTTGAGGCCGATCCCACAGGTCGTTACGGTCGGGTTAGTTTTCTATGGCTTTGAACTATATTTGGTGTTGATTGGCATTCGGGTTAGTTTTAATTAATGTTTCCTTTAATGGGTTGCTGTTGTTCTTTGTCTTCTGAATTGATTGTTTGCAGTACAAGAAGGTTTTAGGAAGAGGAGCTTTCAAGAAAGTGTATCCTTTGATTTCCCTTTTTTTATTCATGGTTTATTGGTTTAGGGTTGATGAATGCATTTTGAGGCTTAAGTTTCGAGTTTATGCTACTGTTGAATCCTTGATTTCCAGAATTCGATGAACTCAAAGATATATGGATGTTGTATAGGAATGCATTTTGAGGCTTAATTTGTGAGTTTAAGCTTTTGTTGAATCCTTGATTAAGTTGTGGGAACTTAGGTACAAGGCATTTGATGAGCTTGAAGGTATAGAAGTAGCATGGAATCAGGTTAAGGTCACGGATCTATTGCGGCATTCGGAAGATATTGAACGCCTTTATTCGGAAGTTCATTTGCTTAAAACTTTGAAGCATAAGAACATAATGAAATTTTACAATTCCTGGGTTGATACCAAAAATGAACATATCAACTTCATCACTGAGATTTTCACTTCAGGAACATTGCGGCAGTAAGTCTTTCTCGATTTTCAGACTGTTTTTATGTGTTTAAGGTTTCCCATATTGTTCGGTTTTATGGAAAAGTTTGTGTTTGATTGTGTAGGTATCGAAAGAAGCATAAGCATGTCGATTTGAGGGCATTGAAGAAATGGTCTAGGCAGATCTTGGAGGGTCTTCTCTATCTTCACAGTCACGATCCCCCGGTGATTCATAGGGATCTGAAATGTGATAACATCTTTGTCAATGGTAACCAAGGTGAGGTGAAGATCGGAGATCTAGGGTTGGCTGCTATTCTTCACCAGGCCCGTTCTGCACATAGCGTTATCGGTGGGGATCATCATGTCCTTAATTACTGTCAATACTACAAGATTCAGAACTATTGCTGATTTAAAATGCAAATGATAAAGCAAGTGTTAATGTCATGTAGGTACACCCGAGTTTATGGCACCGGAACTCTACGAGGAGGAATACAATGAGCTTGTAGATATTTATGCTTTCGGCATGTGTTTGCTCGAGTTAGTAACTTTCGAGTACCCATATGTGGAATGTGCTAATGCAGCTCAAATATTCAAGAAAGTAACATCGGTAAGGCATGTTACTCACCATCAGTGTATAGAAATCAAATATACACTTTATCCATCTTGCTTCATGATTTGTTCCTTCCTTGGGCAGGGAATAAAGCCAGCATCGTTGGCGAAAGTGGCGGATCCTGGAAGTTGTTTATCGAAAAATGTCTTGCTAAAGCCTCGGATCGTTTGTCTGCGAAGGATCTTTTAAGGGATCCATTTCTCCAACCTGCCGAGGAAAATGACAATGTAGGTCGTTCTTTACAAGCTAATGTCCAATCTTCAGGTAGAATTCTAGAGCATTTTCTGGAGATTGAAGGCTTTGAGTATTTTCAACCTCAATTGTACATAATAAATGCAGATAGTACTTCTGATCAGACTAATTTAAGGGGAAATACAAAGGATCTTCAATCTGAGACAGGCGTGGATGTCAAAGTGCAAGGTCAGAGGAATGACGTTAACATGATATTTCTGAAATTACGGATATCAGATTCTACAGGTAGGAAAATATTTCATTCATTAGCATTCGCATTCGCATTCGTTTTTCTTCTTGAAAACTGAGGTGCTTCCACATGGTACTAGGTCACATCCGCAACATCCACTTCCCCTTTGATATTGAAGCAGATACAACGACAGCCGTTGCTGGAGAAATGGTTGAAGAGTTGGACTTAACAGATCAAGATATTCCAACAATTTCCGAAATGATTGAATCGGAAATTCGGTCTCATATTCCTGATTGGGTTCCAAAAGAAACTCCTAGTGATACTTTGGGAGAAATTGCAAATTCTAGTAACCATCTCTCTGAAAATAAGGGTGATGGGTCTCCGTGGCTTATGAGCTGGTGTCATCTCCGGGCCATCTCTCATCAGAGAGGTTACCTTCTGGTCGAAGATTCTGGTCTGAGCCACTCAAGGCAGCTGGTGGAAACTATTTGACCAGTTTCAGTGGTTCAAATGTTGCTTTCGAGTGGATTTTGTAAGGTCTTCAAATACTATGGTTGAACTTGATGAACAATCTCATGATAGCTATGAAATTGGAGGTAAAATAAACAGTACTTCATCTGGACGACTTCACACTGAGTCCACACATCACAATGGCGGAGACGATGATGGTCATGGGAGAGACGATGGTGCTAATAGAAAACATTTTTCGAAAGAGAACAGTAAGCCATTAAAGGATGCTGAATCAGGAGTGAAGGCAATAACAGAGAGACTCGAGTCTCTGTTGTTAAATCAGCAAATGGAGGTTGATGAACTAAAGAAGAAGCACAGATTAGCCATATCGGACCTTCTGAACAACTGCCTCAGGAAACCCGTGGAAAGGTTTTGGCAACATGTAAGATGAAGATTCCAGATTATGCTATTCAAAACGACACAAACCGCTAATTGTGCATCCGACATTCCAGACTCGTGTCTCTTTGATAAAGGTGGGTTTTCTTCATCCTTGAATATCGAGCTTCTCTAGAAATATAACCTTATACACCTTAGAAGGAATGATGGTACTACCAGACACTCCATTACAGCTTAAGAGAGTGCATTTTGTTGGTTAAGTTGGACATTCCAGGTCGGTAGCTGACAAATCTGCAGGAATGCCTCTATCCACAGGTGAGACAAGATCAACAATGCTCTGTAACTGTAACGACAGCACATCACATGATGAGTTAAAAGGAAAGGACGATCAAGCCGAAACCTCGGTCTCAAAAAATTCGGTGTGCTATCGAGATGAGTCATTGTTCCTGCAAGTCATGTATTTATGTAACATAGTTTCAAATATCTGAGGATTTCTGCACATCATGGATGCAGAAGCTTCTTCTTGTTTATACTGGAATGTGGTTTAATTTGATAGTTCTTTCAAAAACTTCCACGGGAGCATATATTTGTACGTATGGTTCTGTCATTTAATTTTATTTTTCACAAAACAAGTTGTACTGTAAATATATTTGGCAGAAAGCTCATAGACTACCTCTTTGAACGTATATCATGGGGTATTCTTCACTGAAAAGTATTTCCTTTAGAGAATGATGGGATCATTAACAGTGTTAAAAATAACACAAAGCGCACTTAGGCGATAGGGGTTATATAGCCAAGGCGCAAGGCGCAGTTTTTAAAAATAAAAGATATACATGTTTTTCCGGAAAAATAACGGTTCATGCAATGCAAACACAACCGGATAAAATGGATGGGTGTAGGGATGGGCACTCAACCCGAACCCGACAGGTTCCGACCTGATCCGATCGGATTTTTTTTAAAAAAATTGGGTTCAGGTCGGTTTTTTAAGTGTGATATTCGGGTCGGATTTAGGGTGAAAAATATCAGATTCCGAAAAATATATAATTTTACCTTATATATTTAGGAATAATTATAATAATATCCCTCTATATATAATTTTTTTCAATTAAGTCACTGTTTTTATTGAATAAAAATATTTTTTTTATTATTTCGGGTCGGGTCGGGTTTCTAAGTCATATATTCGGGTCGGATCGGGTTAGGCGAAACCTTGTTTTGGTCGGGTCAAATCGGATCTCGGGTGGAGGCTCCCTTGTTCTCGAGTGGACCAAAAACCCGATCCATGCCCATCCCTAGTTAGGTGTTACCTTACTAGGTTTCTTTTTTCCTAAACTCGTCTACAAAATACTTATCTCTTTAAGAAGATAAAAACTGATCATAAAATACAAATTAAAATAGACTTCTAATCTCTTCTGGTTTCTACCTAAACATCTTTAGCTTTTGTAAATTATTCTCCCTTGATTCTTTCTTCTCATTGTAATACCATGGGAGTCAAACCAGACCCCCTAATACATGAAGATGGATGAATCCTATCATAAGTTAACTTTCAACATCATAGAATAAAGTTGAATAAAAAGTCACCTTATAACTACACCAAGAATTGGATAAAAATATACAAAATGCAGTGAAGGGGGAAACACGCATTATTAAGATGCCAAGCGAAACCTGTGACATCGGAATTGTGTTTTTTCCTAATTATTTCGCTTACCCACCTACAAACAGCAAAGCAGACGAGCATATAGAATCAATTGTAGATAAAAAAAAATTGAGCAGAAAAGAGAGCATATAATATCTTTAATAATTCTTTAGTTATTATAAAACTTAAGGACTAAGTTTATAATTAAACCAATAATATTAAACAGTAGAAACACAATAATAAAAAGAGTTTGGGTTTGGTGAGATCTAATTTTACTTTTCTCTTTCTCTTCCACACTTAACTCTTCTCCATCTTCCTTTCTTTCCTTTACGCCGACATCTTATCTTTTCCTTTACCAAAATCCCTATCAGAAGAATCCGCCGCCGACTGGCAAGATCAACCCTTACACCTCTTCATTACCGCCCCTTCTCCTACTAAACTCTTACCCCTATCTTTGTTTCTTTGTTTTTACTGTGATGGGTTTCTGTTTTTTTGGTTTGGTGTGGGTTTTTGGTAACACTGGTTTTTAGCAACAAAAAAAAAAAAAGACAAATAAAAATTTGAAAAGGGTGCGACTTTCTGCGCCTCCACGCCTCAGCGCCTTGCTGCGCTTCATTGAAATCGCCTCACCTTAGCGCCTAGGAGAACCTCAGTTGCGCCTTTTTAAACACTGATCATTAATCAAGAATAACACAATTTACATACAATTTAGGTAAAAACACCGATTCATTTCGAAGTCCAGAATCTGCATTGATGTTCAATGAATAGACTTGTCACTTATGAAGAAACTAATAAAGCTATCCTAAACATTCCTTTCCAACTGGTACATAAGCAAAATTGTTGTAGACTGGTGCGGCGGCTTTCACCAATACAGCTGCCAATGCCTTGAAAAAGGTCGTTATAATGATACTTTAGTTAATACCTCACAAATTGCCGCTTGTCGTCTTCGCTTCCTTGCCTTCCATATGGATTGGTTTCGCTAAAATTGTTTCGCGTTCCTTCGACTTTGCGTGTATTCTTTCTAAATTTGGATGCATTGCTGTCTATGTTCAGATTAACCTTCGGAGGGCAAGAAAAGCAGAAGGAAGCTGCAACAGCCTGCTCGAAAACAACAATTTTTTGTTCTTGTTAGTCGGCTTAACACGGTTATTTCTTTGTGTCGGGACGTTCCATCACCCATTAATGATCCACTTAAGATTCTAACACATTGCAGAAACACTTATGCAGAATGAAGACCTACACTTGGTATGCCAGAAGAAAGATCAAATTCGTACCTGCAGATCAAGGCGGTGCACATTGAAGATATCTTTCATTGAGTGTGAATTGTACGCTAAAATGTAAGATCGATATGCATCTTTAGCCGACTTGTTTAGATAATAGTTGTTTGCCACCAACTTCTCCTGCATTATTACAGGCAGAGTATAAACTCCTCTAAAAATTGTCATTTCAAGAAACGGTAGTGAGTAAAAAGCGATAAGTTACCAGATGAGATTGCACATTGGCCAGCTTCTTCTCATCAAACTCATATTCCTTAACAGGAACTTTTGCCGCCTGTCAACAAAAATAGAGAACCAAAATAAAACAAATTAGAATCAGTTCTTTGATCGACTGACCGCCAATTTCAGGCTGCCATGTTTACATACTCCAATGCTTCGCAAAAGCATTTAAATCTTAATGGCACTGAATATTTGATAGCTCAAAGTTTCTTAATGCCAAGTGGCTTTAGTCCCCGCCCCCTGCCCCACTTTGTGTCTCTCCAAATAAAATAAGAACTCATTTCGCATAAATAATGCACCTTTAGATATCGAAGAAATTGCAGTTCCTCTGGGATCAAGAACAGAAGAGCATTTCCTTTTGCACCTTCCCCACGAGCAGTTCGACCAACTCTATGAATATATTCCTAAAAGCAACATTCCAAAATACTCAACATGGCTGGTATATAGCAAGATACGAATAGCAATATATATATATAAAGAGCACACACCTTTGGTTCATCCGGAGGATCATACTGCAGAATCCAATCCTACACGGTGGAAAACAAATTTCCAGTTATAATGATTCTTCTTCAAGTTTAAACTGAGTTACTTAAGATACACCTATACGAACTGTGTATAGATTTTTTAAAGGAAAAACAACCTAAATAATAGACATTCAAGTAAAAAATTGAAAATCATACATAATTAAAACCACAGGCAACCAACAGCTAAACAGGTAACATACCACGCAGGAATATCAAGTCCACGAGCGGCAACATCAGTGCAAAGCAGAATTCCCTTTTCTGCTTTGCAGAAGTCAAAGAAGGTAGTGGTCCGCTTTTGCTGCTTCTGCTTTCCATGGATATCAAGGCAATCCACATGAATATATCTAAGAAGTTCTGCATGAAACTTGACTGAATTACATGATGAGAAAAGACCATCACTTTCTTGGACAGGTTTCTCTTCAAAAACGAGTACAAAAGGACAAATCTCTTTGAACTATGCACAACACAATAGCCTTGCTGCAGCCCTTCATTAGTGACCTACAATAATGATAGCGTCTAGTTAAGTCAAAAGGATAAGTAGATTGTGCACTTTACGATCTAAAAGATTATGTTCGTACCTTCTTTCTCCCATCATCTACATCAAATAAATAGGAGTTGTCTGAAATGACAAACGGGCAAGGTCCTCAACCTGCAGATTTAATTAAAGCCGCAACAAATGTCACATGGTTAAATAAGAATTTGACTAAACTTGGTATACAGGTTTTCTGAAAAATACTGAATGCTAGCCTATGTGGGACTACAAATAAAACTTGAGGGGAAAATGGCACAAAAACATGAGTGAAGGACTAACCTTCTTAGTCTGGTAGCTGAAAATAGAGCTGTTTGCCTGTTTTGCTGCACATCAAATAGGAAGCTAGTAAGCTATAAACACCTTCCAAGTTACAAATTCAAGACAAGAGTATAAAATAGCCGGTTTTATTAAATCCAACAATGTGCTAACATTTCATAACATTTTTTTCCTCTACGCTGCAAACAAACCAAAATACAAATGCAACTGTGCTTGCTAGTACTTACAAAAAGCGAAGTCGGTTAATCGCAGATATAGCCTAACATTCAACTTCTAGCTTACTTCTACACCCCTTTCATTTAAATTATCTCTTTTGGCTACTCTAAACTTTTTTCAAGAAAAGCCCTAGTGACAAATTATGAGACAAGTAACTTAATAATCAACCATTAAATAAACAAGCAGATATGCCCTTTTTAGAAGCTTGATAATCAACCATTAACAATTGAAACGTGTTCAACAAGTCAGTTAACCAATGGAACCTAGCTCTTAAGAAAACTAAGCTTTTTACTACTAGTCATTACAAGTTCACTAAATATATTCCAACAGTCAATCGAACAGGACTATACCTTAACAAAATCAATAAAGCATGTTACTACCACTGTTTTGGTCTCCATCCATTTGATTTTCAGAAATTCTAGATATGAACTAAATGACAAAATCCAAAATCATATTCCTGACATAACAATGTAAATAGCTAAATGATTCACCTTAGGAAGATGCTTAATAATTTGCTTCATTTCTTCCTCAAAATTTGCTTCCAATATCCTGTCAGCTTCATCAATTATGAGACACTGCAAATTTCACAGAACTTTTAGAAAATTGAATTCACACAATGTTTTAACCGTGTCTGAAAAATTATAATGACTATTCAATTTTTTCATGGATCAGAAAGCTCTCAAGTTATCTGAATGAAACACACATTCATAACTGCATAAAATTTTACTAGTTAGTATAATCAAATCGTGATATGAAAACTTCTTCTAACAGCAACCCCAGTTCTATCACCTATAAGTTGCATCTAATCAAAGTGGTAATATTTAAGAGAACATAATATAAGTGATAGAAGTGACTTCCTCAAAATACCAAGTAGTCAGCGAGTCTGGTTTACAATAATGCAGTCTTAAAATAGGTTAGAACCATCAATTACATAAGAACTTAAAATCAAGGGAATTGAGTTTATGCAAATACATTATCATCTAAACCAAATGACCATACAAACCACATTATTAACCAAAGAAAAAAATATTATAGAAGAGGTTCAGAAATGTTAATGTTACCTTCAAATTTTTATAAATGAATCCCTTTGTATTCTGAAGATGGTCAAGTAGCCGACCAGGAGTAGCCACTAACAAATTTACCCCCTTTACAATCCGCTCTGCTTCTCCTCTTCTGGATGAACCACCAATAACCAATCCAAGGGTCTGAGAGTGGTATTTGAGAAGATCCTTAGCTACAGCTGAGTCTGAAATGTTTGAAGGTTTAATTGCTCAGTAATAAATGAAATTGTGAAATATTAAAGGTATGAAATACAGCCAAACAGAATAAAAAATTCAGATTTCAATATGTTACTGACGAAATGTGCATTGAAATTAGAGGAAACAAAATTTTAACCATAGGAAGTTGATGATAGTAACAACAACAAACAAGTTTTTCAGATAAAGAAAGGACCAAGGAATTCAAATCTTTACCTGAATGGCAAGCTCCCTAGTGGGACAAATGACGACAACACCAGTTCCATTGCGAGAGTAAATCGTACATTATATAACAACTCAACAGCGGGTACCAAGAAGGCAAGGGTTTTCCCAGAACCCGTCCTTGCAGCCCCAAGAACATCTTTTCCAATCATAAGTGGTGGAACTGAGCGGGCTTGAATCTGCATTTTCAGTTTGACAAGTCAGCTAAATGTATAGCCCAAAACTATCAAAATTTACAATGACAGTAAATTTCTCCCGTGTACAAAACAAGCTGTAGGCTTTTACGTCAAGGGTATTACAGATATCAAGAAGTTTCAGCATTGCACCTAATGACAGAACAATGGATGCCTTTTCCTTTTTCAACTCATAGCCATTATGCCCATAGTTAACACAACACAGAACAATAGTTAACACAACACAGAACAATGCTTCTAGAAAACTTTTAACTGAATTTCAAGGCTTTTTATGCAACTCTGTGTTATTGAACTCTGAATTAAACGAAGTCAGCTAAAAAACAGAGATATAAAACGATCGAATTTGATACAAAAATTAAACGAATAATTCAACATAACAAAAGGGATACCTGAGTATACTGAAAACCCATTTCTTTAATAGCTTTAAAGGTAGGCTCAGACAATCCCAAAGACTCAAATGACTCAGTGCTCATTATCCCACTTCCTTCGATCTTCACTTTCTCCTTGATCTCTTCCTCCTCTACTTCTTCTGTTTCATCTTCATTGTTTCCCCTTTCTTCTTGTTTGTCATAATCTTTTTCACTCCTCAACTTCTTACTTTTCTTCTTTTTATTACCCTTTTTCTCCTTGATTTCAACTTCTCTTGCTTCAGCTTCAGCTTCAGCTTCGTCTCTGCCATTGTTGGTGCCAGGGTTTTTTGCTCTGTTTTCTTAGCTCTGTTTCGCTTTCGCTTCCTTTTATTCATACTCTCTTCTAAAGAGGGGGACTTTGAGTTTTCTCTTCCGACACCGCCATTGCTTCCAGCTTCAAGAATCTAGGGTTTCCCCTGCTTTCTATGAAATCTATATAGTCCCCCCCCGGCAAAAAAATCTTAATTAACTAAAGGATAAACTAATAATTAGTCAGCCAGCTATCATCACGTTTTGTTTTGGCATCTAACTATTAGAAATTTCATTTTAGTCACAAATAATTTTATTTATTTTAATCATCGATCGTTAAAAAGACAACATGAAGGATGACGTGATTTAATTTAATATCATATTTAGTCATTAGAATTTATATATTTTATCAATTTAATTTTAATTTAAAATGATTTAATAAATTTAATTTTCTATATGTATAAATTCTATCAATTTAATCCATAAACTTATGAAAATTAACAAAAAAACTTCAACGTGCTATTCTACCTCCTTAACCAACAGAAATCCGGGAGCCAAAATCAATAATTGCATATTTGCTTCCAACATGAAGTAATGACATATAAAATTTCCCTACAATAAGGTTCATATAATGCACGATATAAAGTAAGATAAATCGAGTGGTGTTGGATCAGTCAAATCTCGTGGAAATTTTAAATTTTATATAGTTTAAGTTTTTTTGTGTATTTTTATTAATAATCTGAGTTAATACTCTTAAAATTTATATTTCTAAATTTTTAATATAACTCCCACAAAAATTAGTATTCCTAACCAGATTTTCTTGTGTTAGTTTACGAGACAATGTATTGCTGCAACTTTCAAGTAACACACGATGAATGCATATGAAATGTATTCTCGATGATTGAAGACTAAATTGATAGAATTTGTAAATATAAAGGATTAAAATTTTTATCAACAAGATTTGTAACTAAATTTTACATACAAAGGTTTGGGCACAGATGGAAGCGAACAAACTCTCTAACTAAACAATTATCCACAAAGGCCATTACACTAACCAATGGTTTTTCTTTTGTTTTCTATTCTATGTACATAATATTTACCATCGTCTCAATCGTGTGTTGCTCATATGCAGCATATACCTCCTCAATGTACTTTCCGAACCCAAGGGCCTGACAAATCAAGTACGAACATGAATTTTTGCTAACAGGTAAATTACATATGAATTTTATTATATTAATAAGTTATAATTATGGTGTACCAAAATTTCATCCACCACAAATTTATTTATTTTCCGTATCATATCTAAAAGTTCGAACTCCGATTTTAAACCTCACGTTGATAACAAATTATACTAAAAAAACCAACACAATATTCTCCCTCAGTTACCAAATCCAAACGTTTCTTCATAGTTTCCTCAATTACATCCATCGCTTCTCTCCTCCTCCGTTGCCGACGAGAGCCGCCATCATCTTAGCCATAATCTATGTTCAGTCATTAAGACATTAACATCGATTATCCGATAACCTTCTTTTTTGTATACTTTTGTAATTAGTGCTATGATTTAGGGTTAAAGATGGTGGCATTGGATGGTGAGCAACTCAAACAATTAAAGGACATTTTCTCAAGGTTCGACATGGACTCTGACGGCAGCCTTACGATGTTAGAGCTCGCCGCGCTGCTCCGGTCGCTAGGACTCCAGCCAACGGGGGATCAACTCCAAGTCCTTTTAGCTCATATGGACTCTAATGGCAATGGTGCGGTCGAGTTCGATGAATTAACAAATGCCATTTTGCCTCATATGAATGAGCAGATAATGGTAAATCAAGAGCAGCTCAAGGAGCTTTTCACCTTGTTCGATCGTGACGGCAACGGCTACATCACCCCGGCCGAGCTTGCAGGTTGCATGTCCAAAATGGGCAACCGTTGTCGTAAAGAGCTAGCGGAGATGATCAGAGAGGCTGATGCCGATGGAGATGGTGTCATTAACTTCAATGAATTTTCTACTATAATGGCTAAGTCGGCCTTTGATTTTCTCGGCATCCGTTTATCTTCGTAAGCAAAGGTTATGGTTTTTGTTAGGTCATGGTTTAATTGCTAATTTATTTGTTTCAAGAATTTAAATCTGGGTCATATTATAATACTGATTTCATTTAAATATTTTCATATTATTATGTATGATTTTTTATTTCAACAAAACACGTGTTATTATTTTGTTGATGTTATCGACAATATCAAATACATTATGTAATAGAAATGTACAAAAGGGCTCAAATGGAATGATACACATAGTTTTGTGGTTGAAATAAATATTTTAAAGTTTAAATATCAATTTAAAATGAGGGTTATAATTCAATGACTTTATACAATTAACCTTAATATTTTGTTTTTAACTTAAATGTAACCACATTTGTAAAGACAAAAATAAATGAATATGAATTAGGTAATTATTTATAATTGAACATATAATGATAAATTTAACTTTTTAGTGTTTTATATTTGATTAATTTATTATTATTATTATTATAAATTAAATTTAATCATTAGTCTTTTAAAAATAGCCAAAGTGTTATTTTTTACAAATTTTAAATAAATAGTAAATTTAACTACGTTGATGCGATACATGTTCAATATACATTAATTTATGATAATATTTATCTTATATGTGAGGTAAATAAATAGTTTAAAAAGTATAAAATAATTAAAATATAAAATACATAAAAAATTCAAAATTATTAATAAAAAATAATTAGACTGTCATGTGAGCTGCTATATCAGTGTTATTAGAAATTAATAATTCTAATTGCATAGCTTGAATTTTATTATTTTTACATATTAAATTAATTATTATTTATATTTTATATATTACATATATGATTAAATACGTCTTTGATTCCTGGATGCTATGCCAATGCCATGTTGGAGAGGCACTAGCTGCTCCAATGGCATCTTTGCATAGACTTGTAGGATATGATGGGTCCTACCAGAAAAATTAGAGTAATTTATCCCATTGGTCATTAAATTATAGATCGGTTTTATTTTAAATATGAAATAAACTTTTGTGTCGATTAATCACTAAATTTTCAATTTAATTTCAGTCAAACCACTCATTGTTAACTATTGATATGATAGCTAACATGAATGATAAACATTTTTTACGATAATACATCTTATCTTCATTATTTACACATTCTATTAATTTGATGGTGTAGACATACTTTCAATTATCATGTAAACTTGACTTAGAGATGATAATGGGTCGATGGGATTTTTAATTGATTTGAACCGTATTCAAGTAATATATTCCTCACCCGACACCTGATACGATCTATGTTTAGGAAAGTTTCATCCGACTCAAAATTTGATATGAATATAGGATAAAAATATACTCAACCTGACTCAAATATAAAATATTCTCATTTTTATTCGGTAAAATAATGACATAATTTAAAAATATAAAGAAAGAGGGTTATTATAGTAAATATATAGAAGAAATTTATAGTATTATCTCATGTGGAGTTGAATATTTTCACCCTAAATCAAAATTTAACCCGATTTGACTTCATCTCTAACAAAATCCTACTAGACCTGAACTTGATTTTTTTTTGTTAAAAAAACTTATAAGATCAAGTCACCCTTGAAGTTCACGTCAAATTATCATCTCTACTTACACCATCAGGTCCCACGGAAAATTCGAGCTTATTTCCCCTTCCTTTACTCGTGAAGTCAAGGGAACTACTCGAAAAAACGAATCCATTCTCCTTAAGTTTCCTTCTTAGCGGTTTATAGGAACTGACAGTGAGCGAGAAATATGTTATGCTTCTCTTTCTCTGCAAAGGAACTAACAATTTAAATAACAAACATTCAAATCCTTGCATCGAAGAGGACTTGGAACATATTTCAGATCATTACCTTGGATATTAGGAGGAGACGGGATCCACAAAATGATTATAGTCTTGACGTGTATGCGAGCAAGTTGCTATACATGAGAGCATAGATACTTCAGAGCTTGAAAAATGTTTATGAGATTTTTATTATATTTTATTATATGATATTTCATTCATAGAACATTAATGTTTTGGGCATGAATTACTCAAATCTGATTGATAAGAATTTTTTTATATTCAATTATATAGATGTTTTATAAGAAAAATTGGTTGTGACCAAAATTTATGTTTTGAAAGTTCAGTTGCTAAAGTATAAAAGTGGGAAACGTTCAAGGACTTAAGTGGTAATTTTTCCAAAATAATTTTTATTACATAAATGGACAAAACTCAATGGGAATACAAGTGAGATGTTGGTGTGTTCATAACCAAAACTTGATCAAATTCACAAAATATGTAGTGTCGAACTTTTGAGTGAGTTCCATGAAAAAATCAACATTAAGAGAAGAAAGAGGAGTTAAAAACGAACATACTGAATTATGGTGGAAATGAGTTGAAGTATGCTATGGAATTATTTGGGATATGTTTATGTTAGTACAATACTAACATATGTATTGTTATAAATTTGTGATTATACAGTCATGGTTGATTTGCAGTTTCAAGTTTTACTTCCCCTGACGTTGGGAGTAGACTATCAAACACCAACGAGTTATGACAGCATGGCTTCTTTTCAACCTTCTGAACTTCTACAATGGCCATTATTTCCTTGGCGTTTCCAAACAACTTGTTGATACGAACAATGATTCTTTTTCTTTTGTTAAACATTCAAGCTTAACTTTCAATTCAATATTTTTTTTTTTTCAAATCTTCAATTTTGGATTTTGAAAGCTCAAAATCATTTCAAAACACACACAAACTTTAATATATACAAATATTTTTTATTATTCAATTTTAGGAGATTGATATTTTTTTTATAAGTTGAATATAAGATGGTCCGTCGATCGGCTCGGGGCGTGGACCGACGCGGATCGTGGTGGCGGCCCAAGCCCGGGCCTTTGATACGCCCGCAGAGACGTCGTTGCCTCGATCGTGGAACCCAGCACGCGCCGTCGGCGTGCTCCTCCTCATAGACAAATTAGGTCTCAACTCTACCTCTTCAATCTGAATGATGTGACCTGGATCTGGACGATTAAAAATTGATTTTGTATTATAGTTATATAATTAGATTATTATTTTAATAAGAATTATATATATTTGTTTTAAATTCAATAAATTAAAAAATTAAAAAAAAGCTTAAACGTATTGATTTCCTTGTCTATATAAAGTCAATTATCTAGGGTTCTTAATCAACCACTGAATCTGCTATCAAAACACCATTGTCTTCTTAATTCTTGTTTCATTACAACCATATCACCACTCACATGCCCATTGCGTAAGTAGTAGTAGTATCCACGTCCACCGGTCCACAACACACACGACCAATGATTGGCTGAGGAGTGGAGGAAACAATGAATGAGAAATTTTGCACTAACGATATTTTTACAGCCAAAGAGAAAAAATAATTTGGCCCAGGCGAAGTTTTTCAGAATGATGTAAGCAAAATTATTTGCCCATGCAAAATTGTTTCGACTGAAGCAATGATCATGCCTATTGGAGTATTAAGAGACACCACTTTTGGGAAATCAAGGGACCTAATTGTTCAAAGCAAAATTAAATGGGCATATCTCACTCAAGAGACTATTGAAGGAACACCAATTTCTGACGAAACAACAATTATGGAATAGAGGAACGTTGAACAGTTTAGAAGGGTTCAAAATGCTTAAACAAAGTATTTTTGGGTGTCAGTAACGGTATTGTATGTGTCAGTATCGATATTGTTCTTATACAAGGCAAAAATACATGAGCTAGATCGGTTAGGAATCGATTTCCTCAATAAATTTGTTCCTGGAATCCGATCAAATTGCTCGAGTTCACGTATCCTAATTGATAACGAAATGCCTATGAAAAATATACGTGGATACTCTAGTTTGTTCCAAATGAATTACATGACGGTTTTATATGTTTTGAAATGAGTTTAGTACAAGTATTGAGTTACTGGTTTATGAACCATAGCATGTAGTTGAACTTAGCTGGAGGAGAGCTTTGGACCAAATAATGACAAGTGGACTAAAGGTAGCTCGAAGTAGATGGGAGAGTAGCTGAGGAGCTAAGAATACCGAAGCTAACTAGCTTGAGTTCATCAAGAATACCTCACCTAGTTAGCTATCAGGCGTTGAACGACCTTTGACTTTGACCGGGTATACCTATTCTGAAGTTTTTTGGGGTCCTGAATCCGTTTTTTGGGTCCGTTTCATCAAATTCGAACCCGGTAAGAGTGATTCTTGCCCTTGCTGCTATGAACCAATAGCCTTTGTTTTAAATGGATGTTTATAATGCATGCCTTTTTGTAGGGTGACTTGTTTGAAGAAGTATATTCGGTTCGGGTCTAAACTGGGCGACTCTTGGGTTTGTGATCTGCTAGACCAGGTGTTTATTGGGCCATTGGTTGATTTGAACTTCAACAGGGCCTGAATAAAATTGACAGAATACATCAAGAATAAATACCAAATGTGTTATTCTAAAAATTTGCTTAACTGCCATATCAATAATTTCATTAAGAATTAACGGTCGGTAATTTGATTGAAATTAAATTGAAATTTTATTGATCTAATTGATAAAAGTTTTTGTTTACTAAGCAATATAGAATCAACCCAATAATTTAGTGAGTATAAAGTTAGTTTACCCGAAGAATTATTACAGTTGGCCACACTGGTCCCTTCAATCTTCAACCTTATTCCTCATCACCCAATCCTCACTCTTCATTGATCGGGCCTTTTTTTAATTGCATGTCCGCCTCAATTTTCACAGTGAAACAACCAAAACCCAACTCTCCAATGGCGGTGCAGATGGCTATCCGAGTTTCAGCCACTGCAAGGCTTTCTCTTCCTCCACCTTCTTCTCCTTCAGTAACATCTTCTTCTTCAACCTCAAACAAGCTTCTTTAAGAACCCAATCTAAACCCATATCAACTTCCTCTCTTTATTGGCTCTACTTTTTCTTCCCATGAGGCCAAAGCTATCAGTCTTAGCAAAGAACAGATTGTTCATCTCTCACTGAGGTGAGTAAATCAAGTGGA